TCTTGGATTGGTCCTCCCATCTTGCTCTCAACTTTTTGGGGAAGTGCTTTATTACCCCCAAAAAAAACCAGATAAATGTTGTTAATCTTCTGCCCTCTTCAGATGTTGTTCTTCCTTATTTAATATGTTGTTTCTTTCTTTAAAAAAAATAGGTAAATGATTTTCCCACTCCCCTTTTATCCACCTACACTCCTTTTTGTTTAGAAAAATGGAGTGTAAGTGGATAAAAAGGGAGTGGGAAAATCAGTACCCAAAAAATATGCACATATATATATTTGATGCTATAACGACTTATTTTTGCTCTTTTCTGTCATCTTGTGTTCTCCCCCCACTCTTCTTTGTCCATTCAGTCTATAGAAATTCAGAAACGAATAGGGGCATTCTCGATGGCATTGGATACGATTAACAAGTGCCTTTCTGAAGCTATTTGTGCCCTCTCACGTGGTAGATTGGATGGTGAGAGTCGAACTGCTGGTCTCATTCACTCTGGAAATGAGATCTTGGAGATGCACAAATATTATCCTGAAATCAGGTCATTTTGACACTCTACAGCTTATGTGTACTTTTTTTTCCTCTAAATTTGAGTTAGTTTGAATGATGTTTCTGTTTACAGTGGTGCCTAATTTTGAGGGATATGCTCACACAGTTGGTATTGAGTCCTATGCTGTTTAGATTGAGTCTCCCAACGATATGATTAGGATATGTAAATCAGATTTCAAGAACTACAAACATACGCATGAAATAAAACATATTTTCCTCTGGCATTCATATGGTTTGGCAATTGATTCACCATAAACATGTTGTATTTTTCTGGATGCTGAAGTGTATACAAGAGTCGTGTTTATTTTTGTAAAGAATATACATTGAGCAACTGTATTTTCGGGATGGTTTGTTTGTTTTTTTCTTTCAATTCTTACTAATTCTTTTTTTCTTTCAATTCTTACTAATTCTTTTTTTCTCATTATTAATGAAAATTTCACTTTTTATGCAATTTCTCTGACGTAACATTCATTTGAACGTACCGTGCAGTCCTCAAGAGAGGGAAAGTGTTTCAGAGCAGCATATTGTGTTAAGACAACTTGAGGCCGTACTGTCAATCCATAAATTGGCAAGAGGAGGCCATTATGCTGATGCTTTGAGGGAGGTTGCCAGACTTCCATTTCTTCCATTAGATCCCCGGACACCAGATGCTACCACTGATGTGTTCCAGAATTTATCTCCTCATGTCCAAGCCTGTGTTCCGGACCTCCTGAAGGTTGCACTCACTTGTCTGGACAACATGGTGGATTCTGATGGATCGCTTCGCGCCTTGAGGGCTAAGGTATGCTTTGACCAATAGTTTCATGTTTTACTGTTAGGTGAACATTGTAGTTTAACTTTGGATACTAGTAAAAGTTAGATGGATTGGAAGTTGATTTACTGTTTTCTGCTTCATGATTGACCGCGTCCTTTGGGTTTTGCAGATTGCTAGCTTCATTGCAAATAATTCCAGTAGGAATTGGCCTCGCGATTTGTATGAGAAAGTTGCCCGGAGCTTTTAAAGCGGACGAACTACAGTAGGCCAAGATGCCTGTATGGTTTGGTTGATATTACCATGCATGTAACCAATTGTAAAATACAATTTAAAGTAGCGGTAGTACTTCGATGACACAGTTGTTAATTTGATATTAGCAATTTCCTGGTTTTGAATTCAACTAGGCAAGCTGAAGTGAGTTGTGGTCGGATTTCTCCGGCGACATATGAGCATCAAAATCACGCGCATTACATATTTACCGCAATGTTTGTGTGTGATTTTAAATATTTTATATGAGAAAGGTAAGTTATTCTGAACTCCGATGTTTGAGTGTAATGGAGATTAATTTGGTCATTCTCATCCCATTTATCACATTTTTCTTTAAAATTGATCTCGTCTCATCAGATGACCAACTTTAAAAGAGTATTTTCGTCAAAATATAGTTCATCCACATGGGAGACAATAAAACTAATGTCGTTTGCTCAACAAGAACACGGCTCTCCTGTTACGATATCACATGGAATTCCACATAGTAAAACAAATTTTCAAAATAATGGCAGAAAGAAAGCTTAAACTTAAACACAACATGAAATTAGTAATTAATCCCAAATCCAAGATGAGGGTACTTTTTATTGATATACTAGTGAGTAAGTAGTTATTTCGTAGCTATTTTATTTGCGCAAATCCTTGAAATAGGCAACTGGCTTGCTCTCAATGCTCTCTCCCTGGAGATTGTATCATCTCTTCCAGGAGCTTTCATAGACCCTGGCCTGCTGCATGGGCTCCACCACCACTTGCTGCTGCTGCTGCTGCCACATCGGATGACTTGGCCCCACCAGCATTTTGGTTTGCCACCTGGCTATTACTATTACCACTAGATCCTTTGCTGCCTCCCATTTTTGCAATATTCCAAAGTGCATTTTTGCAATTTTAGCAGTATATATATACAGACAGATTGATTGATTGTAGTGCATTGGAACTGCTAAGAATACTTGAACTTGCGTTTTCTAATTACTGGGATAGGATTGGGATTTGAATATTTGAACCTTCCGATGAACGAAGATTATACATTAGAATATGGTGTTTTAAATCCAATCCAACTTAAGTAGTACGTGCTTTTTGAATGTCTAATTAAGAAAAGGGTGGTATTGAAGTCGATGCATTTTCCCAACAACAATTGTACAATAAAGAAAGCTTGAACGTCATGTAAACTATGCTAATTCAACCTGCAATATTCCATTAGAAATGTTTTGCTCAAGTATTTGATGCCTCATCAAGGTGTTTTGATCCCAAAAAATTAAAAAAGCCTGGGATATTTTGGCCCGGAAAAATAAAAGCACAAAATAGTGGCTAAAATAATATGAGCCTCTGCTTATGACATTGATTTTAGTACAAACGATAGTTTAAATTATAGGAGGGGATATGATTTCTCACACATCACGATGACATGAGAGTTCAAAGTATACAAGTTAATGCCATTTTCCACTTAATTAGACCCTGTTGGCACATATGACATTTTTAAGTCATATTTCGAGAATTATTACAATTTCTCCATTCTCTGTCATGGTATTTTTTATAATTTGCTCATAAAAAAAATCCCTTTACCAATTTTAATAAAATTTTGATGGGATGCGACGTAAATGATGAATTTTATGTGCAAACATACATCAATTGATTTTTAATTTTTTTTTTTGGGTCAAATTGATTTTAAAGTTTGAGAGCATAAACTTTCAATAAATAGACCATTTATAAAATTAAAAAAAAACCATGCTTTGAAAATAAACGGCCCATCGGAAGCCGTTTAACCAGTGGGTAAAGGCAAAACCCAGCCCTCTGCTGAGTACTGAGAGTGCAGACCAGTGACCGCTACTGTGTGTCACCGTCACCCCTTGCACGCCGGTAGGCGTCGAAGAGTCACCGGCCGACGGAAGCAAGTCAGCAACACCAGTCGCTGCCAGGTACTATCTACTATCATTCATCTGCAATTCTTTTTTTTTCTTTTTTATTTATTAATCTTCTCATGCTAGATTGAATAGAAGTAGTCGGTTGAATGCGTTTGTTATTTTATATAGATTGATTCATTGAAATGAATTCTGAATTTGTTATATGATGTAACCTTATTTTAAGTGGCAGATTGAATGGCTGTGGTTTTTGATTGAAATTTTTAGGTATTATGGAGGTCGTGGATTGGGGGAATTATTTAGGGGAGAGTGTTTCTGAGGCCCGTGCACAACATGCCAACAGCACTGATGAAGAAAATCACTATGCTTCTGGGTGTGCATCCAAGTTTCAGCCCAGGTAATTGACTATCTTTATGAAAAACAAAATACAGTACAGTTTCTATATTGCTCTCATGTTGATCATTCTTTTCAGGAAAATCACATCCAAGGCTCACTGGAAGGACCAGATGGGCATGGCTGAGGTGGTAGTTGAAAAGGGTAGATATCGGATATCCACGGGAATTGTGCGCCATAGCAAGCTCTATTACTCTATTGAGGAAGTTTTGTAAGTGAAATACAATATAGTCTATTTATTCTGATTCTTGTGCTCTACGTTTGAGGGTTTCTCTTGCGAAGTTACTGAAATATTAAGTTTATGTAAAAACCAATAGACTTGACTCGAAATAAGTCAACTATATCAATCTTGGTTTTTTTTCATTTCATTTGTCTTAATTTTCCCTTAATGAGCCTTAAATTTGAATGTTTTGTATGTATCTGAATTTTTTACCTTTCAAGCATTGGTGGCCTTACAATTATCTTCTGAAATTTTTCCATTTCAATAATTTTAAAGCAAACGAAAAAGAAAGTGCATGAAGAGGAACAAATTTGGGTAGAGGGCCACAAACATTGTCTATTATGAAGTCAACTGAAATTTTATTGTCAACTAAAATTTACCTGCGCTTTAACCAAAACTTGGGACTGTTAAATAAATGTAGTAGGGGTTCAACGTAAATTCAGAGTCTGGTAGTACTCATTAGCATGAAAATTTCCTATTTCTTGTTCCGTTGAGATGGAAGTTCTTGCAAATTGTAACAGTCCTTTTAAAGGTTTTTGGTTGAAATAGGCGACTTGCTTCTCTTGGATGATAGTGGTACACTTTCCTTGGAAGATATATATATGAAGATTTCAGATAGAAGGAATGGGTGTTCTTGGGAGGAATTTCAAGCTTATAGGCAACTCAAGTCTCTTGGTTACATTGTTGGGCGGCATGGTATCCCCTGGTCTATGAAGAGTTTGAAGAGTAATTATGAAACTGTTTGTTCTCAACGTTGTCCGGAAAGTGATGAGGTGGTGGAATTGGGATCAGAAGAGACTAGGTCTGTCATTGGATTGTTCCATGGGATGCAAATAAATGAAGCAAGGCTGATTTTTGATGTTTATCTCCCAAATAGCAAGTTCAGGAAGTCTTCTCCTGGTGATCCAAGTTTTGTGCTCTGCTTTACTAGGTATGCATATTTTGGCAATCCTGAGAATTTAACAAAATTAATTCTGTTTGTGATTAGCCATGATTCTTTTTCTTTGAAGTATCAATCGTTATTATCTTAAGATATATCTATTCCTTGAATAGTCCGAAGACTGCATATTTTGTGAGTAATTAACAGTTAGTTCCTTAGTAACTAGAAAACCATGTTAAATTGCATATTGGCGAGGTTGTATGTGACGGAGTTTGTGCAGTAGGAGTTACTTTATTGAGAAGCATTTTGTTAACAAATTTATTTATGCAACAAAACAAGAAGGCATCTATCTTGTATTTTCTTCTCTTGCACTCTTATTTTGCAATTATTATTTGGAAATCTTGTTAAATTTGAGGCTGTCCCTTAGCAATTGTCATCTTAAAAGTTTTAATGCATCCCTGTTTATCATCTTTTCAAAGTTTAGACTCTTCATCAATAGTAATAGGTGGTGGAAGGTGGACGCTGAACATTAGATGGATAAATTAGTTGGGAGGTTGGCATTCATAAAAAGAATGTTCTTTCAAAATTTTATGTGTTAGTAATCGATTCGAGTATCCCAATCTTGTGTAATAGTATTTAACTGTACACTCGCCTTCTCTGTTCTAGGGGTCCTCCACCATCCAAAGCAGACCTTGAAGCCCTCGAGAGACAATGTGAGAACATTCCTTTGAAGGTTTGCCATGAAGAGCAAGGGTGGGTGAGTTTCTTTTCCTTTGACAAGGTGGAACTTCCTGTCCTACCTTGACATCTGAAGTTGATGTTGGTTTGTACTAAAGAGGAGCATAAAACCTAATTGTCTTGAATTTGTGTTGAACCTCTTATCTGACTTTATATTTTGGACTGAAAAATTTGAAAAGATGATGAATTGAAACTTTATATTTATGTATGTATATACAGAAATTCTCTTATGCGGACATCCGGACGTTATTATCGTGCGGACGCCGTGTATTTTGTACTACCCCTCTCTGTTTTCCTGCCTGTTTACAATAGGATCCGCACGATAATAACGTGCGGACATCCGAATAAGAGAATAACTATATATATATATTCTGATTTTGCATGGAGTTTATTTCCTCGTTTAATGAAATAAAATTGCTTGGATTTCTACAAATAGGGGATGTTTGGCGAGTAGGATTGAATGAGGTAGAATTAGATTGCATTAGATTAGAGAGGATAATATTAATCCAAGGATGTATTTAGTACTACTCATGATTAAGGAGCTGCATTAACTAAACTATGCTATTACATGGGCTAGCAAGATTAGACATAATCCGATCCAACTTAATCCCAACCATTTCAGTTGCCTCTTAGTATGATTAGACAGAATTTAATCCATATTGTTTTTAGGCTACTAAAAATTTGGCTACAATTTATAAATCCTATTGAGCCATATAATCCAACTTACCAAACAAGCTAATAAAGGCTATAAGGTTTTGATTTTGATACGTCCCAGTAGTGTGGAGCCCCAATGTTTGTGGTCCTTGCAAAATTTTCCTCCTATAATATTTTGATCAAATTCAATCAAATCTTTAATGAACTTGATAATGCAGCACCATGGCTAATGGTATAATATTTTACATTAAAGTATTATTAATTAAAGATTTGATTGTATTAGCCTACACGTCAGAAAAATAATATCTTTAATATTATTATTCTTTTTTTAAGTCTTCCTTTTAGATGTTTTTACACATAATTATGTAAGTCTAGCCTAATACTTCAAACAAGACAACACCTTATTTGCTAAGAAAGATAAGTCAATATTTTTTCTTTTGTTTTGTTTTTGTTTTTCCCCCAAGCTATGCTTTACAACATTTGCTAAAAATTTCAAAACTTCCTAACAGGAACTTCGATTCCCTCAAAGAG